TTAAAAATCTTTTACAGCTCTTGTGATTTAAAGACTTTTAGACAAGATGTATTTTATTCTCAGCAATCTTTCTGCAGTCAGTCTGTCCTTACAAGGAAGATTATTATCAGTAGCTTTCCATGAAAAATCAATGTAAACTAGATGTATCTGCTAGTCAGATTATACTAATGAGAACTGCACACAGTCCATTACCAGATTCATTAAAATATTTTCCTTTTTTTTTTTAATTTGGCTTCCAGCTTAGAACAGCCTTCAGACTATTCCATTAGTGCTGCTGACTCCCTTTCTGTTAAGCTAAAAGCTGAGATAACGTGCTCAGAGCAAATGAATGATGCAAGATGATCAGTATGCTGGTACAGCTGTGCTGGAGATTTGCAGTTGCATTTAAACCATTGGTAAATTTACACAAGCATTTCAGAGATCAGACTAACTGGCTTCGAGGCAGAGCACAGTACCTTCCTCCTCTTGATACAGATGTCATTAGTCCTGGGAAGAATGGGAGTACCATAGAATTATTTATACAGCAAGCACTATTTGTTTTAAGGCATGGTCTCTGAAGTGAAAATAGTCTCAGAGATTCTAAAAACTTATTTCTGACTAAAATAAACAAATAAGTAACGTCTTGTAAACCAAACGAAGAAGTACGGAACCCTTCCAATGTTTTTATGAAGTCATTTGTTGACACAACTCAGTGATGGGGAAATTAAAGGAGGAATGTTTAGTAAATATTTTGCTGCCCTCCACTGGACGAGCAGCAGCATATCCCCAGCAAGCACGGTGCCGTGGCGCCCTTTTACTTCAGATGCAATTGAAGCCGTGTGTTCTACCTCAAGTGAGCATTGCAGGGGTTTGATTTTCGAAGGTAAAATTTTATGGTTTTGAACTTAAACTGAAAAATATTAAAGATCTGCCTGGTAGAGCAGAGTGACCCATCAGCTACCTGTGAAGGTGTGGACCTGAAATTGTTGTGCATTCAGGGTCCAGAGGAATTTACTCTTTTTACCCTAATCAGAAGAGCAATACAGAATTGGGGGTTTGTAATTAGGTACCTGGAAATAGGAAAGATTTACTCCTTTCTCTGTTCCTGTAATATTTTGATCTATGAATATTAGATATCTGCACCATGTATGCCTGTGGATGGATTTTGTGCTTAGTCATTGTACATAACTTCTGTGGTTTATAGCAATGATGTCATGTTGACCTTGCCATTAATTCATTAGCAACTTTGTACCTGCTGTAGTCCTTGGCAGAGGACTAACATCAGTATTGTATTGTACATTTATTATTAAAATATTTTCTAGTTTGAATAATGTTCAAGATGATAGCCTGAAAGAATCGCTTTATCAAACCAGGAGACTGAGGCAGTCACTGGGACTGAAGGGCAAAACATTCTCATGAAAGTAGAGAAAGGACAGCTTAGAAGGGAAGGGGATTTGCAAAAAAACCAAAGAAGTAGGAGACCTGCATGGACAGACATCAGAATTAGTTGCTGAGAAGGCAGGAAGAAATATTCACGGTTTACCTAAAGCTGGGAATTTTCTGTGTAAGGGACACCTTTGATGACCAAGGGCTTGATACGTGATGTGGCTGAATACTTCCTTTGGAACTCATTAGGTTTCCATTTGTATATTGCAGAGCATACATCGAGCTGACCCACTCTGGCAAGGGACAGTTGTTAGGTTTGGCTATGAATATTTTCACCACTTATTTTGTTCTGACATTTTCATATGAAACAGAGGAAGTGGAAACAAGAACAAGAAACATTAATCTGTTTGTTTTTGGTCCAAGAAACTAGGTGTGATTCATATCAGACAATAAAAATGAACCACATGATAATCAGACCCTGAAGAGCCTGAAACCTGGTGGTAGCTGTTTGTATGAGGATGGCCACGTTTGTTTTTTTTAATGTTCATGTAATTTGCAGTTGCTGTCTCAGTATTGTAATTGAATATAAATACATAATAACATATGACAGAACAGATTTTAGCTCTAGTCTTAGTTTGAGAGCTGCTTAATAGCTACTGTGCTGGATTTCATTTATCCTAGCTGATAATCTTGCTGCTACTCTCCTGGTTCAAGTTTTACCTTACTATTTCTCCAAATGTCAAAGATCTGTTGTTTGGGGTTTTATTTGTATTTGTAATGTTGCTTTCCTGTATTGCAGAAGTTCTAGCCACCACAGTGTATCCATACCAGATGGCTGTTCTTTGTGACTGCCACTAACACACCACATTTGGTTAACTGTGTTAGAGGAATTTTTGCATTTGATTTCTCTTCCTTTTCTTCATAACAACATGTGATTTTATTCAGCATATGGAATTTTATTCAACAAAAAGGAACAACTGTTTAAACTCCAGTTCATATGAGATTTTTGAAAAAATTATTGTATTATAGGAATATTAAAAGCAATTTTTTTCCCCAAGGTATCAAGCACAAAATGTTCAGGCTGTGTTTTAAGATAAATATACACATATTTTAGCAAAAATGCCTTTTTTAATAATTATGAGATTTGTTTTGACATGAGTAATTTTGATCTTTACCTTCTAAAAATAAAGAGGAAAACTCCTCCTGGCTCGTTCTTATGGTGATGATGATAAGAAATAAATCTGTTTAATATCGTACCATCCTATGTTGAAAAAATATTATCCATGTCTGGATAATTAAATTCAGGAAACAAGAAAAAGAAAATTATCTAAACCATGTGAAAAAAATAAGGCAGCTACAATAATCATCTAGTGAAAGCCTGTAGAAGACCAGAAAGTGGACTTTTTAGAGCAAACTTTCACAATAAACTGTAAGTGTTGCATTCAACACCTAAATTCACTTCTCCGCAAAATAGGGTTAAATTATCCCACTTCTTGAAGGTTTTTAACACATATTGGTTGAAATTCTATTATTTTTCCACCAAACATGAGGAAGTGCTATATCAATGTTCTACCCATGGAAGATGCTACCTGCTTTCTTATTGTAGAGGATTCTTCAATCTAAATTTCAAAAGAATTCTTGTGTATATTTCTAGACCCTGATTTTATATATTTACATGTGTAGCACTTATAAATCTTTTGTTCTGTGGAGAGCTAGAGTATGTTTAGACAGAGATTCAGAGCACATTAAATAAGAATACTTTTAAGGTCATCAACATTTTTTTAATGTTCAGACATAGTTTTTTTGTACAAAAATAACATCAAGGCTAATGCTTAAGTGGTTGTTTGTACTGGACTATCACTAATAGTGATCAGAGTCACCAGTAAATATCTGAATGATAGATACATATATAATGTATGCTACCACTCATACAGTGCAATTTCAGGTTGTTTTGGTTCTACTGGTGATACTCTGCAGTACTTCCTTAAGCCTGTATTTAATCAATGCTGCAGGTGTGCAAACATAAAAATGGTCTCTCTTATTTCTTTTTTCTCATATCTGAAATTTCTCATTCAGAATTAGTCAAAAATACTATCTTTGTTAAAATAAGCATGCTACGATGAAGAAAAATGGAGCAGTAACCATGCTTTTTCTTCATAGTTTTATCCATGATATTTTAAATTTGAAATAGCCAAAAAAGTCTGTTAATAATACTAAAATAAAACATATTTTGTGGGTTTGTTTTCTTTTTCTTTTTTTTTTTTTACCTAAGAGAAATGACTTAAGTCTCACAGAATTAAAAATGTCGTCTTTTATGATAACATAACACTCTTTTTTTTTTCCCAATATATACATGTATAGATGTTATTATGTATTTATATGTGTTTATTTCCTTTGTGTATAGAAGCATTAGGAGATGTCTTGAACTGTACCTTCATTTAGGATACAATTTAACATTAAGCTTAAAAATTGTTTACTTTCTCATGAAAATGAATAGAAACCATCCAAAGATTATGCTATTTTATAAAGTAACCCACCAAAAATCCATGAGTGAGTTTTCAATGTATTCTGAAATTGTAAATCTCCTTTAGCTGGTGTAACATGCTGTGTATCAGTACAGAAACACCGGTGCTGAGCTCTGTGCGTGGCTTCAAGATTTCCCCAGCCAGTCCAGCCACAGTCCATGGTCTGCAGAGAGACACTGCAGCTACGTTTACACGACTGAAGCCCACATATAAATTAAGTGCATGCAATTTGGTTTCATGCAGCTGGATAAGAAACACATTTCCTGAAAAACCACTCCCTTTTTGTCTCTAATTACCTATGGAATAAACAACTCTGAACAGCAGATATTTTTCTCCCAGGGCAAGAAGTCATTGTTAGAGCTGGGGAAGGAAATGTCTCATTCCTTCCGACTGGGTCTATTGGTTTGAAAGTGCATTTACTCTAGAATGCACCAGGTAGCCCAAAGAAGGAAATTAATAAAAATTACATTGAGCTTTCTTAAGGGAAACATCAACTAATCAATTTAGGCGCAGATTCAGATGTGGAAAGCTGGGACTGTGTGTTCTCCAGTCCAAACCATCCTAAATCTCCGGTTTTAGTAGGCAGTGAGGAAGCAGGTCCATAATTTTGTCTTTGACTTCCTCTGAGGCAGCCAGCAACCCCCTTGGGAATCACCAGTGCCAGAGCTGGGCATGCCCTTGGCCTTCAAACTTTCTTGGAAAGAAGAGGAGCATCTTCATTTCTTTGAGTTGCAAAATCTGACAGTTGTAAAATATAGTCCAGGAAATAACCAAACCAGATATATTTTCTGTTGGCAGCAGTCACAAGATGTTTCTTTATAAGTATCTGCCTCTGAATAACAATTCTATCCCCAAACAGTTGGGCAGAAAACTCTACCACGGACAAATTTGTTAAATACACCCCAAATAAATGAAAAAAAAAATTTCCAAACTGAAATATTCAAACTTCTTTAGGAATTCAGATTGTCTGGGGCAAGTGAGATAGCTGCAGTTGAAAAATTCAGCTCACAAAATGTAGCCCACTAGAGAAATCCTGCCACAAATCACAAGAAAAGCTCTATGTAAGTTATAAATCGAGCTCTCTGTGATTTTTTTTTTTTTAGGAGACAAGACACTACGAAACAAACAGATCATTGTGTTAATTGCAATAAATACGCATAAAAGCACCTTGTGATCATGCTATTTGTATGTGCTGGAAGACAACCTACCTCAAAGGATCAGGTAAGTGGGCAACCTGCTCTTGGTAGGCTCATCTGCTGTGCAGCTGTCAGAGCAGCCCTGAGTGTTGCAGGGAGAGTGACCCTGGTGTCTTCAGCAGAGGTTTCTTGAAGAATAAAAATTAAAATTGTGACCTTTTATTCTTTGAACTTACCAGACATAGGGGTAATTAGACTCAGGAAACCTTGTGCAGCCAAATCCTTTAACTACTCACCTTAAAATGTGGCTCTTGATGTGGATATCTCTGTTGCATTAGAGGACCACGAAAATAGCCATGTGAGAAACCTTGGAAGTGTGATTTATTGAACAGATCTTTTCTCTGTTTGTCAGCAGGCATGTTCTAACAGCCCTTACATGTATTTTTCTTACAGTGTGGCTCACCCAAAAGGCTTCCCATCTGAGAAGTCCATCACTGCAGCCTTTTGAGTTTGTGACAGGCAGTCTGTGGCTCAGGTGGAATTTACAGCAAGTGAGTAGTTCTGGCAGCAAAGACCACATTGTCATTCATGTCCTGACAGAAAGGCAATATCTGTGTCCCTTCTGTACCACACCAGATTAAGCACTCATGTTTAGGACTGTACAGAATTCAAGGAAAGATTTTAATCGTCCTTGGCACAAGATAGCATTGAGCAAGAAAAGAAATAATGCAAAATTATTTCTTGATTGTTAGAAGGTCCATTTTATCCCTTAAAGTAAGGAGAGCAACACTTGAAGACATGAATTTATTTTGCCATGAAGCTATCAGCTCTTTTAGTTGGTGGATCAGGCAGGTGGGTCACTGTTTTCTTTCTCCTGGTACCCGTTGGTGTGTGATGCTGACTGACTCCCTGATGGGACTCACAAGTGAGTTATTTTTCTGAGTTTAACCACCTTTTGTTCCTAGTGCACCCTTTTCCACCCTTGTGTATACTCTTAGGGAAGTCTTCTTTTCATTACCGTAGGTATCCTTTTATTTTTTTTTTTTGTGTGACTTGTTTGTTTTGTTTTTTAAGTCAAAAGCAGTCACTTTTACTTAGAATTTTTAGCAATCTTCAGGCAGATTCCCACCCCAACTCCATCACCCATTTATTGATCTTATAGAAATAGGGGAAAAGATTCCTGATTTTTACTAGAATAATCGAGCTTTCAATTGTGGAATGCTTGTTTTTATTTTTTCTTATAACAGTTACCCCTCTTAGGAGCTCTTTACGACTAGTCAGTGTTTTTCTTGCAAATGGAATTAAGTATTACTTATCCAGCTCCTCCCTCTAGTGGTGACCATAGGGCTCAAAACCGAAGGAAGTGTTCATGCTTGTCAGCTTTATATCTGCAGGTCACACAGTCCTGTGGATTGGTGGCACCCTTGCTTTCTCTAAATGCAGTGCTGTGGTTACTAAGTCTGCTGTTTGTGAAAGAGTTTACTGTATTAATTTTAATATTTTTTTGTGAATACTAAATGGAAGAAACTAAGAGGGAAAGAAAGCAATTGGAGCAAAATTAGGTACTATACTTTGAATTAAAAGAGTGTTGTTCCTCATAAAGCTGCAGACAGTGAATTTTTGACCTAAAACTTTCAATTTAAAAAGAAAATTATTGTTGAAATCAGTACAGATGTAATTGCCTCCTAATCTGTATTCAATTAGAAGACTCTGCAGTTTCTCCACAGGACCTGAAATATTGTTTAAGGGGGGGGAATCTACTGGATGCGTGTAGAGATGAGTTTAACCAGCAGAGCAGTGTTGGAGCCTGTGTGGAAGCAGAGGCTTCACCAGGCTGATGGACACAGTGGCTGCAGTGCTTGAATGGTCACAAGCTGTGTCCAGGAGCAGAACAGGGCTAGGGCTTTGGTGTGTGGGTTTGTTTTACTCATCTATTTGTTTTCTAATTGGTGTCATGGTGTGTGTAAATAGACAATTATTTTATGTGTCCCTGAGATACTCTTAAAGAAACTTAAAATTCACTGTAATGCAGATAAAGCTGCTTGGAGGGCTGCCGGAAACTTCCCGATACAGCCAGGGTGTGCTCTGTTCCCGGCAGTGCAGGCTTCCTCTCATGATTGCTTTTCCTGGTGATTATTTAATATTAGCTTGCCAGTTCTCCCTAATTCTCTGTGATTGTCTGAGAACATGCAGCTTTTTTTTTATTGACTGCACAGCTGAAATGAATTTATAAACAGAAAGAGCAAGATTTAGTCTCACTCGGTATACGAAGCAAGAACATTTGGAAACTGAGAGACTGATGCTCATAATGAGTCCTGCCTGTGGAGGGGGCTTAGAAGGGGGTTGGGATTTAGGAATGGATCAGAGTTGCTGCTGTGTAGGTCACCTCCTCTGGGGTGCATGGGTGCCCTGCTTGATATGAGAATTGCAGGAGCCCCAAAACATTTATGTGATTGCACTTGCAGTGTCTGCCAAGGGACAGCTCTGCTACAAGAATTTACAGCCTTTCTAATGTACTCTGAGAAGAAGCAGCTTTGTGGTTCCTCACTCAGCAAAACCAAAACCAAAGCCAGAACCAAGTGCTGTTCCCAAGAGCGGCTTGCTGCAGTCCCAGCTGGTTGCCTGCACTTGGCACAGATGAGCTGTCTCTCTCCACCTCCCTCTGCCTCCTCCCTGTCTGCACAGCCTTTGTCTTTGAAATCTTCTTCCCAGATGCAGGGGAAGAAAAGGCCTGCCAGCTCTCCAGTGCGTGTTCCTCCCCAGCTTGCAGAGTCACTGAAACTCATTTGCCAGCAAATTTGCCTTTGGATGGAAATCAGAACTTGGAAAATAAATAAGTCCTCTTCATTGCCACCATGGAGACAGTGCTGAACTTGGGCAGTCGCTGGAAACCCACAAAGCCAGTGTGTCAGCAGCATTCAGAAGAGGCATGGAGCCCCAGGCCACCAGACAACCTTTTAAACACAGTCAGCTGTCCCTGAGGAGCTTTCCATGTCCACATGGAAGTGCTGCTGATTTCCTTTCATGGCCCATTTTCCTTTTAATACAACTACCAAGGGCAAAAGGACAGTCTGAAGGAGTTATAAATATAGCACAAATATATATGCTGCAGTTTTGATATCAAAACAAGGTACTACCCTTCTCTTACCAAGCCAGCTCTGATCAAATAGGGTGAGAGGCAGAGCAGCACCAGGGTGCAGGTGGTTAGCACAATTTTTTGATTGTCTGCACACTGTGATCCCACAAAAATCTACAAATGTCTTCCCACACCTCTCCCCTCTGCCTGTGGAAAGGCACCTGGGCTCCAGAAATCTGGCCTTGTGTAAGACTTGCTTGGCTCCTTTCGGCAGAGAGGAAGCAAAGGCCATGGCGTGTTGAGGATGGCTGCTGTGGGATTTGGGATTTTAGTCACTCATTAAGAAGTCAAAATACACTTATGATTCTCTGTTGGGGAAAAGAAAAAAAAATAAATTCACAGACTGAAGCATTCTGGTGTCACTCTGAGCAAGCTGTCATCCTAGCAGCCAGACCTAAAAGCACGTGGAGGAAGCTGAGAGGTTTTAAGCACTGCTGTCGTGGTAGGCTCTGCTCTGGTACCTGATCTCATCTGTGCTGGGCTGTTACATGTCCTGTATCTGTGATGTGAAGGTTTCTGAAGCTCAGCTGTCACCTTTGCCAAATGCTGTAGGCTGCACTAGAAATGCTGGTTTCTCAGCCATGAGTGTTACTCAGAATATAGGCTGCTGTGGGAATCATTCCTAGGGTTAGTAGCGGCAGCATCTTCTCCTTGCACCTCCAGGACTGTACTGAGCTACAGGGTAAAACTACAGTATCTTCAACACCTCAGGATGTAACTAGAAGGTGCATAGAAAGTGCTGTGCTTCAGCATTGTCATTTAGAAATATTCAACTGTAATAAATTCACTTAGAGATGACAGCATTCATTTATCTATTATTAGCAGAGTTCTAGGTGCTCGGATAGAGTATTGAATTGTCAGAGTTGTGGCACAATTTTAGTGGATTTCTACTTTCATTGGTCTCTGATTAAATTTTGTTTTTATTTCCTTAATAATGGCAACAGTTTTCTTTTTCAGACAATTGTACTTGTTTGGATGGAATAGCACTTGCCTTCTATTGTGCTTTAAAAAGTCTGACATATGTTGCTACCAAACAAGCTAACATTACATTTTAAGGAGAAAGTTAGTACCTTGACAAGGAGCTATGCCACTTTTTCATCAAACTTTTTATCTGAATTTTTAATCTGTAAATGGTGAATATAAAAGCATGAGGGAGGAGAATTACCTTCTTTTACAAATGATATTAGATGCTTCCTTTGTGTTACTCCTTTTCATCCACAGAACCTTAGGCTAAGAAACTTGGTCTGTATGAAGATATGGAAATTGCTTAAAGTTACATAATTGCTTGAAAAATTAGATGAGATCAGTAATATAAAATTGCTAATTTGGTTGACAGGTTTTTAATGCTGCAGTATTTTCTGTATTATGGATGCATTTCCCTTTCAAAGGGGGGCAGCTCTTTGCCTGTTTAAATTCTCCCTGCAACACCTACGTGTGTCTCCTGCAGTTTTAGTGTATTATTAGAGTCTAAAGTTGAAATACATGTCATTATCTTCAACAGAGCCATAAAATTGTTATTACTGAAGGCAGCTGGTAGTACAAATTACTTTTTTCCCTTTGGGGAGTATCTGAAAGACTTGAAACAGAGGACAGCCCAAAGCAAAAGCAGAGAAGGTTGATTTTATTACTTGTCTCCTACGTGAAGGTTTTGTATTACTCTTACTGTCGTCTTTCCATGTTCCATTGTCTAATTTCAACCAAATGTGAGTCATCTCAGAGTAAGTACTCAAGGTCCCACAAGCTTTGGGAAATAAAAAATAATAAATTCTAAAACATGAAAACCTAAACACCAAGAGTGGCTGGGGTTAGCACTCTGGTTTGAGCAAGAGAAACAGAACACAGCCTCTCTTTTTCCTGGCAGCAGAGGCTTGTCAGGCAGCAAAAGCCATCTATGCCCTGTCAGAGGTCTGGACCAGCTGCAGCTTATGGCAGTTTTCCCCATGTGCCAAACTGTGTAAGGGCTGGCAGAAGATATGGAAGGAAAACAAGGGCTGAATAGATTATAGTGGGGATGTGTAAGGATCAGTGATGACAAACCATACTGAAACAACCTCCATTTGTTTTGTGGAGGGTGCTACTCTCTACTGCAGCCATTGCCAATTATGGTTTCAAAACTGAAAAACAAATTTGAAAGTCGTGTGGTAGGGAAAGCCTTGGTGTGCAAGTGGTGATACCAATGACCAAAATACATCTTCTTCTTGCTGAGTGAATACTGAATTGGTGCTGCAAGATTTCTATACAATGACACCTTTCTGACCATGAGCTTTTCCTGATGACTTTCAGAAATTTGTTTCTGGTTACTTATGGTTTTTAAATTTTCTTCTTTTTTTCTGTCACAGAAATAGAGACTAAAACTTTCCCTGTCATTAGACACAGAAGGATGTGTCTAAGGAAGATTTCTGGCTTGCTGAATCTGAATTTGGCCTTACAAGGAAATTAAACCAATCTGATAAATAACAGATGTTTGCTTGTAATTTTTTTTCTTATTTTTGTAAAAGCCATATTTTAAAACAATTACACTTGAATATTTGACTATAGACATAATTTTAGACTGGGTACTAGAAGAAGGCAGTACAGCCAAACATTGTTAACCAGATAATTACGGGGAATTTAGGTAGCATTTTAGTGAGATTTTTTGATGGAGCTGTTTCTGCTTTATTTTCATAATGTTTCTAAAGCTCCTTAACTTTAAAAGGGACTACCTTTTCTAGAAATTCTTACAATTAGAAGTATGGGAAATAATGTTCTTAGTACAAACTTCTGTTTCTGCAGACAGCATAAGGAAGTAACGTGCCAGCAGCTGCCCTCTCTACAGAAACTTGCTGGTGGTTTATCCAGGACATTGGGATATTCTTGTATATCCTGGACACTAGGTGAGTGTACTGGAAGAGAAAAATAGGCCCATTTCACTAATCTAAATGTTTCTGAAGCACTGATATGGAACATGAAGGATTTTTATTGGTGTAATGTGTTATACTTGATTTTGTTCTCATTGAGCTAAAGCAGAAATGAGTTTTCCATTTCCTTCAACAGGAACCCAGGGTGTTTTTTTTTACCTGCAGGGAAAAAAAATACAGATTTATTGTGTTTGAATTTCCAGGATTTGGTATTGGCAGGCTACAGAGGTCACTTCAGTGAAAAACTGACAGAAGCTTGTGTGACGGAGGCAATGCCAGCTGGCTCCAAGGCTGAACCCATTAGTGACAGTGGTAGCACCTCTGAGATAATTAAGAAGGAGGAAAAACATTGGTTGGGCAGCTGCAGCCAGAGAAGAGAGAAATGAAAATAGGTGAGACCAACAACTATGCAGGCACCAAGGTCACTGAAGAAGAAAGGGGAGGAGATGCAGGAAGTACTGGAGCAGAGATTCCTCTGCAGCCCATGGTGAAGACAATGACGACATCTAGGGAAATGAGACTATGGGTTCAGGAAGTGTTAAGCTCATAAGTTCTGAAACGGTTAAATTTGAAGGGCTATTTCATTCATTGCTTTTGCTGCCAGACCTGTTATTGGGGAAATAATAGCTGAGATACTGTATATTCTAGATCTGTCTTCCAGCTGGAGTTAAGCTCTTTCCTGATGAACCATATAAACTTGAAACTACTGGACATAGGGAAATGTGGGTTTAATCCTTCCAGCTGCTAGAACACATCCCTCTGCTCTGGTCTGCTCAGCATTTCTCTCCTCAGCAAGACTGTTAAGGGAGGGAGGAAGACAGAAATAACAACCATTCCCAAACTTTCTCCTTGGGGAAGCAAGACAAACCAAAACACTTTTCTGCAAGTGACACCTGACTGAGTTATGAGCATCAGGAGCCATGAGCAGGAAGGATCTGCTAGTTCAGGAAGGTACAGGAGGACATGGGCTTGGTGAGTGCAGAGATTTTAAAGCTGCTTTAACAAGGCAGGTGGGGATTTTTCAGAGGTTTTTTAAGGCGTTTTATCTGTACCTTTTTTTTTGAAGATAGCCCACTAATTTGGAGGCTTGTAGTTCTGGGTCAAGCAGAAGTCAGCAAAGGGTCTAAGAAAAGCATAGTCTGCCCTGAACCACTGAGTGTGTGCTAGTGCTGCCCAGCACTGAATAACATTTATTTCACTATCTTCACCTCAGCTCAGCAATCCTACAATTTCTTCCACTTTGGAGGCAAAAGTTACAAATGATTCGAACTGACTGATGTGATGATTTGCTGAGGAAAAAAAGGATGAGAGAAACATGCATTTATACTTTCATAGTTGTCATAACATTTCGATTTTTCCAATCCTAGTGAAGAAAGTTGAGCCCACAGACTGACCTCTGCCTGAATGTGCAGTGGGTGGATAAAAGTGAGCTGTGAGCTTGCTTCTGAGTCCTAGTCCTGTAAGCACTAAATTGTTCATACCACAGCGGTTATGGCTACTCACATATAAAGATTTGCTGAGCTGATGATTTCAGAGCCTGACCTTGTTCAGAGTATTTTGTAATTTCTTCTCTTTTAAATCTGTTTTTCGGTTTCTTTTTTTTGTTTGTTTGTTTGTTTGGTTTTTTTGGGGGGGGTTTTGTTTGTTTGTTTAATTTTTTTTTTTTTGTGGTGGAAGAAAACCTAACAGCTTCGACTTATCCATTGATTATATGAGATTTAGTAGGTTTCAAGAAGCCTTTTAGATGGAAGATGAATTTGATATCAATTTTAATGCAAAATGTTCTTCATGAGAATATTTTCCGTGTTGGAAAATAAATTTTCTGAAGTTAGGAAATGCCTCATCCAAGACTGGTTGTATTTATTACACCACAGCTTTTCTTCACTTAATCAGGCAAAGCACATAATAGATGTGCTGTCTTAGGCATGGCTTATATCTGTTGTTGACTTCAGTGTGTGGCTCTGGGTGTTCTTACTTCATGATATTTGAGCTGCTGTTAGAAAAAAAATTATTTATTTTCTTAAGGTCTTTTATCAGGCAGTGATTACTGGAGTGTCTTCTCTGTTTTCTGATGAACTAGATTTATTTGACAATACCTTGTATGACAAAAGAGTCTTCTTATATCTCCTCCAAACCTGTGAAACAGGAAAAAAAGAAGAAAGTTGGGAGTGGGGAGAAAAGACACTACTACAGTACTAAAAGACACGTCAAAGCCCCTGAAAATTTATGTTCCACCCTATTCCTGCCCACTAAGACCCTAGTATTAGCTGCCTGCTCATAATCACACAGAGAAGAACATGTTTTCTGGGACATCTTTTGAAATAAACACAAAGGAGAGTTTTCATATACGATATCCACTGGGTGGCAGAAGTAGATCAGAAAAAAATGGTATTCAAACCTAGGAGGGACTTACAAGTCTAGCCACTACACTATTTTGTAGCAGCACTATATCAGTCTGACACCTGAGCTGGAGGTGTTTCAGAATAACATCTTATGAGATAATATATTAGATAGATTCCCCTTTCTGTATGTAAGAAGAAGTAGATTTCTGGATGTGCATTCTCATTCCTTCTTTATTTTTTCCTCACCAACTACAGGAACAGCATTTTCAGAGCAAAAGAGGGCCTGGACTGCCCTGCCTTATGATCCTATTTTTTACCACCCCTTTTGATGGAAGATACTGTGGCTGCAGCTGGAGGCTCTGCTGTTCTGCTCCCTTCCTGAAAGTAATTGTTAGTATTGGTACAACAAAGATCCCTTCCAAAGGTACTTGTGCCCAGGTGATCCAGGTCCTTGAGCTGATCATTTTAACCTGTAGCCCTCCCTTTGTCTGACCTGGGTTTGCAACTCAAACCAGTTTAAGAGAGGACCTGAGCCCAGTGTGAAATAGTGGGCAACTAGCTAAGAGATGTAGAGAGAAATGGATAAATTTAATAGTGATTAACAATCTCCATCCCACTGTGGTTAGTACCTGACAAGTTTTAAGCAAGCACAGTGAAAATGAAGGTAAGGGGGCAGGAGTTATGGACTTGGAAAGCACTGAAGAACCAAGAGGTAAGCTTTATCCTTGAACATTCTTATGATAAAACTAAATTTAAAACACAGTCTATATGTTCCTGTCATATGTAATTCTGTAGAAGCAAAGCTCACATTGTGATCCAGCACACTTCCCATGGGTGGGTGTGTGCTCTGTTGTGATAACTGAACATGCTTCATCTGTCTGCTGTAAAGCCCCCAAATCCTAAGTGACCTAAGAGATTCTGAATATAATGTTTCATAAGAATATAATCTAGGGGTTTGTAAGAATATATTATTTTTGTTCACCTCCTCTTTGGTTTTGGTGTTTTGTGGTTTTTAAAATAAATTATTTTTTTAAAAAATACATTCTCTACAATATCTGTGAGGAAAAAAAATAGAACTAATGTTGTCATTGTTTAGGATGGTTTTACAGAGAACTTGGCCTTGTTGCCAGAATTTGTCTTTTCCATCTGTCATTTCACTGCCCTCCAAACACTCGTGCTTCATAAACTCACTCTATCCCCCCTTCTCTGCTCTTTGTGGAGCTCCTGCTTTCTTGCACTGCCTGGGCAGGAGAATGATGCACTAACCAGCATGGTTAGTCTCCATGAATAGTTTTGCCCTATTAAATTCAGGGCTCAAGAACGTCTTTATTATGTGTTTTATTATTGTGAGGCTGTGAGGACTGTGGCTCTTAGAAAGACGTGCTGCCTGGCAGGTGGGCAGAGCAGTGGTGAGACAGGCTGAGCTCAGCATCTGGAGGATTATGTCCAACTGTGTGTAGGGCCATTGACCTGGAATGCTTTTAATTTACAAGGGTAGTTCCCAATAGCGTATTTCTAGCATTCTTTCTTTAGAGGGCCATGAATGCCAAGTTGTAATAACTAAAATGAGGTCAGCTATATCAGGCCCATGCTATTTGACAGCACACTTTGCAATCTCTGGAATGAATTGGATGAAAGAAACTGTTCAATCTTGTTCTGGCATGACCTATTCCCCCTTTTAAAACTAATTATGGCAGTATTATTCCACTTTGAACTCTACTGTTACATGTATACAACAATGAGAATTTGCATGTTTTCCACATGGTAGTGATTTTTAGATAAAACTGCTTATAGCTATATTGTGTCTAATCTTTGAGTAAAAATATAAAGATAGGATTCCACTGAACATGCATATTTAACTACAAAAAATTCTATATTCTATACAAATCTTATACACAACTTGTTTTATCTATATTTGAAAATCAGTAGAAGTTTCTAAACAAAAGTTAGCATTCTGTAAACAGGTGTGATACATACAAATGATGTGTTTGCTATGTTGAGTTTTTTTCACTGAATAGCAACAATCCTGGTACACAGCAGCAAGAGTGGTGGGGGAAAGAAGGATGTTCTACAATAGTCTGTATATTTTTATGCCAGATATAAGAAAGTTAGTCTATTGGGCAAACTCATTGAAGAACTGCACATTATTCAAATGGTCAAGGTCCAAATTTACTGTCAGAAACAAATTCTTGCAGCTAGGCTTAGTTCTGGCTGTTGTGGCATTGTGAAATCACAGTATTGTTAAAAAAAATCATCTAAATATTTCCTGGATATCACTGAGAATAATTCCAAGTTTTGAAATCTGAATGCAAATGGTAATATTATTAAAACATCTCAGAAAACTAACCCTAATCAGGTCTTGTCAATATTCGATTTGATGATGTGTAAAATGTTCAGCATAAAATTTGCTTGAAGAAAAAGGATACAAATTTCACCTCTTAAAAATAAAGAAAAAGCCCCTGAACACATTAAATATACAAGAAGAGTGCTCTGCTATTGTGGTTTGGTTGGTTTGTTGGGGTTTTTTTAGTTCTAAACATATAGCTGAGGTTACTTGGAATGCCCTACTGTATTTAAATAACACATGGTGAAATATGTTTATTTTTTGCCCTTGCTTTCTGTAGTAAG